GGGGACTAGATTTACCAAACTTCCAAAACTACTATTAACAAATAGATTAGAATACATCTCTAAATGGATAAAACATAATGCCTTAGATGAGCCCTGGATAGACACTGAACAGGAAATATGCAGTAATATCATCATTTCAGATTTGCTGTTTATTAGCTCTAATATAAAGCGGCACCCATGTTTTAAAAATATTAACATCAGCTCTTCCCTGACAGCATGGTGGGAATTAATTAAAATGACGAAGTCGTCACTTATCCCGAGCACATTGGGCTTTTTGTTTGCCAGCATGTTGCTGACAAACCTGCTACTGTCTCTGGCTATAAGGACGTCTTTGTCTTCCTAGAAGACGACTGTGGACCCATTCCCGGTTGCTGCCTTCACAGAGAAAATGTTCTGCGGTCACGACGGTACACACAGAGAGTCTCTCTGTTTCGTCCACTGCTGTCGATGAGGGTAACCACTGCAGTGCCTCTCTGTTGAGCGACGCCGCTGCTTCTGGTGCCATCAGCCAACGGACCAGACCACTGACCACTAGCCAGACTAGGACTGACATGTGACATTAAAATAACCTAACAATTTTTTTCCCCTTAGTTAGAGACCGCTTTACGATCACAAAGGAGAATGGAAAATCCTCTGTTCCCACAAGTCAGTGAACGCAGCGTCCACTGTCCTCCACTCTGTGCAAATGGATTCATGCTTGCTTATAAAGAAATGCATTCATTGATACATAAGGAGTCAAAAAAGTGTTCAAACTGCCATAATGTTTAACTTTACAGAATTTAATGGATTTAATGAGACAGATACACACAGAGGCATTTATTACTGTAAAATAAAAAAAAAAACAGATGATACGTCAGTTATAGATTTAACCCTTTAAAATCTCACAAATGTGTCATTCATATAAATTCAGCTCCTTTATTCTAATACCCCTAATGGAAACCCGTCAGCAGCAGATTGCCTGAGAAGATAGCCAGTCCAGAGTCCAAAGGTCAGTCAGTATAAACCCAGCCGGTCTGTTTGTCTCCTCAGAGGTTCTTCAGAGAACATTAGAAAACAACCAGCATCATAGAAACCAAAGAACCCTGCAGATGGTTCAGGGAGGAAGATCTAGATCAGTTTAGAGCAGCGGTCGCTACTAGAAGCATCTCCAAAGCTTTGAACATCTTCCAGAGCTCTGATCAATCCAGTATCTGAACATGAAGAGAGGATGGAGCACCTGCAGACCTACCAGGACATAGACATCCACCCAGACTGACAGGTTGGAGGAGGAGATCAGAGAATCAGCAACGAGTTACCTCTGGAGGAGCTGCAGAGGTTCAGCTAAGGCGGGAAAATCTCTACTATGTTGACAGAGAAACAGAAGAAGTTCTGTTTGTAAGAAGCCATGATGCAGAAACAGCAAACAACAAGTTTCTCTGCTCAGATTTAACAAAGAAACTCTGATTCACGTCACAGAGTAAATGTTACAGTGTTAAAGTAACACTTTAAGAGTAGATTTGGTCCCAGACTAAGTCAGAATGGGACTAAATGTACACTGCAACATTTACTGTGCAGAATGCATCATGTGGAGGAAAAAACAAACTGAGACACGGCAGGATCCTGAGCTCCACCTCTTCTGTCTAAAACAGACCCTAGAAAGATGGTGGGACGTCAAAACTGAGATCCTCTGCCATCAATCAGATGCAGCTGGAGTTGGTCAGTTGATCACAGATAATAGGGGCGTATTTTCTGACCCCATGATGGGTTTTCCTCCAGAGGCTGAGGACTACAGCAGAAGGCAGAGCTATAGAGCATCAGTGCTCTGCTGTCCAGACTATGTGATACAACATGAAGCATGTTTTTACCTTTAAACTACTTATTTTATTTTTTTTACAATATTACATCAAAATATATAAGTCATCTTTGGTTAAGATTAAAGTCTTGCAAATTTAAAATGGAGT